TTGCTTGCCATTGAGACAACTGCATGGTTTTTTATTTTTTTTTACTAGTGCCTTGAGATTTTTAAAACACTACGCTGTGCCATGCATTTATTTCTTGTGGTCTTTTCATATTTGCTATCTTGTACGCTAATTAAAGTATTGTTTTCAGCACTTCATCCTGCGCTGTTTAATTATCTGGAAAAAATTGGTTCTCTGTCATGGTGGCGACACTAATTGTTCTGGATAATCGAGGCTCGGCTGTACATTGGAACTCGCACCGCTCTTGCTTGAGGGTGACCCGTAGCGCTTTTTCATGAAGGCCAAGCTGACAACAGGCCGGGAGCCGGAGGCGTGTGTTTTGCGGACAGATCCCGAGCCTCCGCTATTGCCAGGAAAGTGGTGAAAACAGTTCTTAACGCATGCACTCGCATTGGAGATCTTGGCCTCGCACTGCCCTTGCCTGAAGGCACTTGAAGACCACGGGTGGAGTTGATTTTCTAGAGCCAAGTTGTGCCCTTCTGGGTGACATTCAGGGTGGTTGTAGTTAAGGCAGTAACTTAATTTTTCCTTTCTTTTCCACCTTTCTACATCTCTGCCCCCTTTCTGGGGATGGGGCTTGGCGCGGCTTGGCTAATGAAGTAAACGAGGACATTATGTTGTGATCTTCTCCATCCTTGGCTGCTCCCTGTATTTGTCTCTCTCGAGGCTGCTCAGCCCACACCTAAGATCCTGTCTCCCTGGGGCAGTGCTTTGCAACCTGTGCTCCATGGGCCCTTGGGGGTCCCCAGACTACGTCTAAGGGGCCCGCAAAAAATGCCTACGATCAATCAAAAGCACGCGAATACCCACACTTACCATTCAGAGGGGTCCGCACCTCCATTCAAAATTTCCAGTGGGGTCCCCAAATGGAAAAAAAGGGGTGTAAATCACTGCCCTGGGGAAAGGCTCTTTCCTCTCCCTTTATATCCAGCTAATGAACCACCACGAATGAGACGTTTCCCTCCATGACTCCACAGAACCCACTTAAACCTTTCAGACGGGCCTTTCTGGCCTTCTGCAAAGGATGCCGGTTTTGAACGGCCACGAGGGTGCCAGAAAGTAGTATCTGCAAGAGGGAAACACTCTTGTTACCTGTTTGGATTGCAAGGGGAGCTGCAGATGCTTAGTACTTAGCATGAAATTGTGGTGGTGCATATCCTAATCATTGTCTTGAGCCTGAGCTTGAAGAATAAATCCCCTTGATGAATTAGTTGGCAGTGTGGTTTTGCAGACATGCCGAATCACTTGCATGCAATGAAGCATGGGTCTAATCTAGAGTCATGTGCTGGACTCAGCTCAGACCTACCATTCCTCACTTGGGAATGAACCATAGATGGCTCGAGTGACCTTAGGGGACAAGCATCAACGTTGCGGCTTTGCCTAACCTAGTCCCTTGGCACATTTTGTACTGCTGGTTTTTCCATATATGTTTGCAGAAGAGTTACAGGTGAGCAATAATTTGCCCTCATTCCTGATTAACCACTGGTATTTATTTCAGTTCAGGGACTGGAGCGTAATTGCATGCAAAATTCTAACCACTCTTTCCTTTCGGCAAAAAATAAAAGAAATTTCTGGCACGAGGCGTGCAGGTGGCGATAGGGCGATGCTGGCTGAAACAGAAGGCTGCAAAACGTTTTTCTTGCTGGACTTGTTTGAATTCTGGTAGCAATGTTAGGGCCGCAGACAAGTGCATCGTCAAGATCTCGCTGCAGGTGTGGATGTGAAGAGAGCAGGGCGTGAAGGCTTTTCATTTGATTTCCAGCTAAGAAGGGCTGCCTGGATTGTATTGCTTCAAGTCATCTCCGGGGCTGTTGGAAATGCCTAAGGATGAACTTAATAGGCATTCCCACGGATGTGGAAATGGAAATAAAACAGCACCCTATAATGTAATTGCTGCTTGGCCCTGAATGGCCCTGAATCACTGTCGGAAACTCTGTTCTTAAAACTTTATATTTTTTTAAAATATATTTTCTTAATGTAAGGAACAAGGCTGAATTTTGGTTTGTGCTGCTTTTTAGCGCTCCTAAGGCTTCAGGACAGTCCCCTTGCAATTAGCAGCTTCTTGGTAATGTAGCCTTTAAAAAAATCAGAACGTACGTGTGTGTGTGTGTGTGTGTGTGTGTGTGTGTGTGTGTGTTAATGGCCTGTCTGCACCAGAGGGCGTTGGGTTATTTGAACGCCCTCCCTGCTCAACAGTTCCTCCTCATAATTCGGTTTGACGAGGGAGCATAAAATGCTGAAGTGCAACTGCGGGCAGGCTGGATTTGCACGGGCGCTGCTCTTGGGGAAACCCAACAGGAAACTTGAGCGGCGCTGCAGGTTATTTCAAGGCTTGCTAGAGGAACAGCTCTGAATCCTCCTGTTGTTTGCCTGCGAAGGGCTTTGGCGTCAAAGGAAGGAGCTGTCCTTGTCCTGCTCTGAAAGGTGGCAGTGTAGACGGTGCTTTCTCCTTCCCCTTTGCAGATTTTGTTGGCTACTTGAGTCTCAAAGACAAGCGCTCTTCAGTTTAGGACTGATCTGCCTCGGAGAGAGACCGAGAGCGCACAAACCACATGCTTTTCCTTTTTGGCTATAAGCCACCGGTCGGTTTTCCAAGTCTGCATGAATGGTACCTGGGCCAATTTTATGGCCGGCACCGGGGTTACCGTCTAGAGCAATGAGGTCTGCAGCAACTCGTGTGACTTGTGCTAGTGCCCAACAAAGAAAGCCCCCGGCTTTGTTCCTGGAATCGCGGTTTGCAGGGCTGGAAGGTAACTGGGGGGGAAACCCAACCTGTGAACTGAGTGCGTCTAGCTTAGAAACCTGTGTGCACTAATTTTCAGAGCAGACCGACACTTAAAGATCACGTTGCCTGTGTGGGGCTGTTTTCGTGACACCTACTCTCTAATCTCTCTCAGCCTGGTCGAAAGTCACTGGAAAGACCTATGTTGACTTCAGTGGACTTTGGTGAGGGGATAGCAAAAACCAATGCAGATGGGGTAGATTATATTTGTGTGCATGGCTGCCGTGCGGGGGTCTAGCCCGCTCGTTCCTGGGCCCCTGCCATGTGTGCTCCAGGCTCGCCCACCACCCCTGCCGCCCGCTGCCTCAGTGCCTGTTCAGTGGCTTCATGTCTTGAGCTATCGTGTTAGAAAAAGGCATTTCCCAAGCCCTGGATCTGTCAATTTTGTGATAAAACTGCACGTCTCTCTGACACATTAAAAATATCACGTCCCCATTCTCTGCTCCTGTTGCAAAGTCGATCCCTGGACATAAGATTGTTTTTGTAGCACCCCTTTGCAATTTCTGCTGGAGAGTTTTGATGTGGGGGGCGTGAAAAAGCTGGGAACATGCTTTGAAATTTGTTAAGAAAAAAAGAAAGACGAAAAATACATCTTAAAAAAATTAGGTGGCAACAGTGGAATATGCTGCTTTTTTTCCCCACACGTGAGAGTGCCTAAGGTAGTTTTTAATTAATAAATCAAGCATGGTAAATAGAAATAGAGCTATTTGAACTTGGCTGGCTGGTCATTTGTGACCCCGGCACACTGGATAGTGGAGGCGCCGGCGGCTGCTGTTAAGGATGCCACTTGAATAGCATGGCTGTTCCCACGTAAAGGCTGCAGGGAAGAAGGGATGTTCCCCGTGTCTACAGCATTACTTCACATTAAGCCACAGCCAGGGGCCAATGACCGCTGTCTGCGTGCTTCCTCGCCCCTATGGGGGAGGCCCTCGTGCACGTTCACACAGATTCCAGCGAGGTAGGGAAGTGTCGATATGCTCATTTTGCAGATGGCCAATTGAGGCCATCTGCAAAACCGGCTGATTTTGATGCAGGGTGTTATGCAACATAGCATTTCCTGAGCTGGGAGATGAACTCGCTGCACTTAAGCCCGTGGATTTGCTGCTGGTTAACGAGCAGGGCCTGCACTTCATCTCCGTAAGACCCAGGACCTGCTCAGGCCATTCAGTTCAGTGAGCACGCAACGTTGGTGCCAATATCTGGAGTTTTTCTCGCTGGTACAAAGAAAGCTTTTAACCGCAATTACGCATGCCGCAATATTATGCCGTCGCTTGTCTGTGCCGCACAGTTCCTGCCCCGGGACTCTGCGTCCTTGATTCCTACCATTTCAGTCTCCTTTCACAAAAGCCTGTTTTGGTAGCATTACGTTCTACTTTTGAGCAGAAACGGCCTGGGTGGCCTCAGTCTGTGCTGGGCGCTGCAACTCTTGAATGCACCAGAAAGTACGTGTTTCAGCTGACCTGCTGAGAGACGTGGCTCGTTACCTCCGTGAAGGGTGTGAAGTTGTCTTACGACTCATGAGGACGATATGAACCATAGATCATATCAAGGACTGTGCCTTCCCCCAGTGGTTTCTACCACTTTAGCCTTTTTCAGTTTTTAGAAGTGCCGGGAGCCTTTTGTTTTCCAGCATGACTGCTTTCGGCTCTAAAACTGCCTCTCTTTCTTTCTCCCCAGGTCTCAGGAATTGCACCTGCGGACAGAGGCCCATTCCTACCTCTCTGACCTAAGCAAGCAGTCAGATATAGAGTACATTGAAACAAAAAGACCACGACTAGACTTGCTGCAAGACCCGCTGATGCGGCACTCGCCTCTCCTCAACCAAAACCAACAAGGAGGGACAGAGGATCTCTCAAAGGTAAAGGGAAGAGCCGCCTGCATCCTTAGGATGGTACCCAGGTGCTGAGTGTGTGCTAGGTGGAGCGCTTGCACTGTATACCTTCTACAGGATGTCTGTGGGGCACGTAGAGGTCTTTAACTCTGCCAGATGCTAGTCGGTGTGGCAGTGATCTGGCTAAGCTGTTGTAAGGAGAGGTTTTCTAGTGTAACAAGTATGCACTCACTGGGCTACCAGACATTCGTGACTAAAGCCATGTGGCGTTCCCATTGCTGTCAGCTGGAACGGGGAAGCCGCGCGCCTCTGAACGAGGTACCGCTTGCTTTTTATTTTGCTGAATTTTTAATTTGCTCCCAGCTGTTTCTTCGAAGCGTTTGAAACGTTTGTTGGTCCGTCAGCAGGCTTATTGCCCTCAGTATGGTTGCACTTCCCCTTCTTTGAACATTTCCAAATCATCTCGACCAAGGTGAGTAAGTTCGTGCATTGAACAGTGGAGAGAGCTGCTCTTTCTGGTCTGACGCAGCAAAGCCTGCCTCCTCTTAACCCTCCTCCAGCAGAGTAACTTGGAAACTGCCATGTCTTCTGATGAAATAAATACGATCTAAAAAAAATCCCCTGATTCAGCCAGCCCGTATTTATTTGCATCTGTTCTGCGTTCCACCCAGCACTCTTGCAAGCCCCTGGGAGATGGGTACGGCTGCACGCAGGATGGGTTGCTGAGTCTACGTTGCCTGTAAAAGAAATGAGACTTGGGCGTCTTCTTGCTCAGCAAGGCTGAGTTTTCACAATCCTCCTAATTGGAGTGGCATTGGTGGGCTGTCAAGTTGGCCTGAGTGAGGAGATGTTTGATTCGTGGGGTGCAAAGCTAGGGGGGAAAAGAGGTGCTAGGGCTGACATCCCACCGTGAACAGACCAGATTCCCTAATGAAGGCTGATACCTGGGGTGGGAGATTTTCTGAGGGTCCGGGTCCTTGCATGAGCAATGCAACCGACTGGGAAGGAATAGAGCAGTGCAACCTTAATTCCAGCCCCGCATGATGGGGTTGTAAGACTCAACACAACACAGACCTGTCCCCTCTGCTCTTTGACAGAATTTTTCCTTGACATGAGATCTGGGCACCTTGGCCTCTTGCGTGCACCAACCCTGCTCGTTTGCTGCTCCACCAAGCAGCCGTGACCAGGCAATAGCATTGCCACCCACGCTTTTCTTTCAGCGCTGTTGGGCTGGAGCCGTGCTTGGAAGCAGCTGTTCAGTGAAGAAGAATATGTTCCATTGGCTGCTGGGTGAGGCATCTCGCTGTGGGTGACGAGAGACATAAATCCCGTGGTGATGAGCTGCAAAGGAGGGAGCCCTCTTTCCAAGCTTCTGCCCATTTCTTGGACAACGTTTTCTTTCTCCACATAAGCTCAGCCAACATTTTTGGTCTGTGTCTCACCAGAAAACCATGTACCCTCCCAGCTGCTGGTTTCTAATAATGAGCAAAATCTGGAATCTGGGCAGAGCTCTTGCCTCCTGGTCTGTGACACGTCCTACAAAATTGCACGCTTTTAAAAGTGTTTGTGTTGCAGATCATGGTGTGCCTGCAGCTGTTTGAAGTGTTGGGGTCTGGACAGAGGAAGAGAGCTGGTGTCTGAAACCAGAAGCAACATTAGGGCAGCTTGATGTCTTCTAGGAAAATGTCCTTTCTGGGGTGCTCAAGAAGTGGAGCTAGTGCTGGCTGTTAGCCCCTTGTGGCAAAGGGCAGATGATCCTCGTTCCTGTTGAAGTGGATGGGAGAGGAGGGCTTCAGGGGCATTGTAGACGACTTCCAAGGATGTGCTAGATGTTTTGCTCCTCGAAGATATGCTGCTTTACCTTTCAGCAGGGATCTCCCGATCCCATTCTAATGCAGAAGTGTTTGGCAGGATTTCTTTGCTCTTGGGGAATATCACACCGACACTTGCTCTGAAGCGAAACGGCGGGAGCGTACTGGCTTTGTGCCCCCAGGTGTGACACGAGTACCTTTCCACGACTGCCCCGTGAGTCTTCTCTCCCTGAGCTGCCAGTGACTTCCTTGCGAGCAGCCAGGAATGTCATCCCCTTGGGAGCCTGTCAGCTTTCCTGTGGAGAGGCGTAACCTTGTGAAACAGCACCTCGTGCCTCTGCCCTTCTCTGGTCTCTAGTTCCCATTTAGCACTATCCTTGCAGGCACTTGGCCTTGACTGTCACGCTGCTCTTTTAGCGACGCGTTAGTTTTTGCACCTCTTCCTCATACCCCACAGTTCTTTCAGGCTTATCTTTAGCGACTTTCTTCCCTGTGTGTTTCATGTCAGAAGCCAGAAGTCTCTGGTGTTGTGCATTTGCCAGCTGTGCAGAAGAAAGACTTTGCATTGATCTGAGCAGAGGAGAACTTTATATGCACTGCTACATCTGCCTCTCTGGGTATGCACATGTAGCATTGCTTTGTGGCTGGAGCACTGGGCTTGGACTTGAGACACGAAGTCTGTTCTTGGTTTTGGTGTTGACTCGGGGTGACCTGGGCTTAGTCAGTCTCTTTCTGTTCTTCAGTCCTCCACCTGTAAAGGTGGGATAATGATCCTGACCTTGTTTGTGAAGTGCTGGGGGCCTGTGAGTGAAAAATGCTCCAGGTGCTAGGTATCATCGCTATAAAAATGCACTGGTCCCTATTAAGATTGTTTCAGAGGTTGTTGGGGTTTACCTGGACAGACTATATCAAACTAATGTTGACACTTGCATTGTCTTCACGAGGAGTTTACAGCTCATCTGCTAGCATAAATTAGTTGCGTGATTTAGTGGTTACAGCACACAATTGGGACTTGCAAGACCGGTCTGTTCCCATCTTGGCCACTGGCTTCCCAAGCATCCTTGAACAAGTCATGTCACCTCTCTGTGTCTCAGTTTTCTCATCTCAGAAGAGGAGATGATGCCCCTCTCTTCTTGGGAGTCTGCTGATGGAAGAATACTCTATAAAAGCTAGCTATTCTTGGACTCTCAGAGTTTTTACTATCTGTCTTCACATGGCCATGATGTACAAGATTGGGAATATGAGAAGAGGGACCATTGCTAGAGCTTGCACTGGGGCTAAGAAATGCGTGTGGAAGAACTAAAGTGTTCAGCCCCACCCAGGTGGCTTTTTTGTGCGTGTGCGTGCATGCATGTTTGCATGCATGAGTGTGAATGCAAGTGTAAAAAGCTTCCCTTAAAACCAGTGGAGGCATCAGAGGAAAATTTGTTAAGGATGTATTGAGGTGACCAGCTTATTTGTCAAGTTTTGTGCTGAACAATGAACTCCTGGAAAACGGGGTTTAATAGTGGAAAGGGTTTCTAATAGCCAGTTATCTGGTCTCCTTCACTGCTGCTCTGCAGGGCATTAAAGGTAACTTTGAGGCAGGGGTTTTCGACCTTCGTTCATTTGTGGACCCCTTTGGAAATTCCAGATGGAGGTGAGGACCCTTTTGAATTGTTAATGTGGGTATTCCCATACTTTTGATCAATCATACTTATCTTTTGCGGACCCCTTAGAGAGAGCTTGCTGCCCCCCCAGGGGTTTGCAGACGGCGGGTTGAAAACGGCTGCTGTTAAGGCATTCAGGAGTCCTGTTTCCTGGATTTTGCTTGTTGTTTTTTCCTATTCATTTTTCCTCCATTGCCCAGTGCCTTGGCAGTGCCCCTCAGAGGCAGGCTTCCCCCCAGCAAATCTTTCCCTTCCTCTTTGAAAGGCAGCTGTTGGGTTAGAAAAGTGCTGGGTGGATAAATGCAAGGTTAGCAACTCCCACAGGCCCAGCTGTCAGTTCAGACCTTAAACCCAGTGACCTCACGCCCATGCTAGGGTGCTGGCCAAGGATTCGGGTGAGGATAATTTTGGGAGCGCTAGTTGAGGCTTGCCCTGCAGAGGGGTTAAGCAGGGCAGGCCTGGATGGTTCCCTGCACTTGCAAGCGCAGCTACTTGGAGGGATCGGGTGGTAAATTATCACTAATGCTTCTGCTCTGTGGTTTTCGGCATGGCTTTGTAATGGGAATGTTCATCTGTTGCTGGGATTAACCTCTCAGAGTTTCCAGTGGGCTGGACTCGCCGTTATTAATGAAACTGGCTGGAACTTGTGTTGACCTTGGCCGTGGTCCCAGTTGGCTAGGAGGTGACTGGCAAAAGCATAATCTCTAATTGAGTAATCCAGCTCCGAGGGGGGTGGGGAGGCAGCAGCGCTTTGAACTCCAGAGGCTGCAGCGCTCAGACAGGATGTGGAGGAGCGCAGCATTCATCGTGCACTGCAGCCTGCAGCCGAGATTGGGAGGAAAAAGGAGGCGACGTCCCGGTGACCTCAGCACATCGGCGAGGCATCCAGGGTGCGGGATAGCCCCTATAAAGCTGGGATCATAAGGCAGCCGCCTTCCCGTGCAGTGCCCTCCGCTGATTGATTGCCCTGGAACCAGAGGGCAAAATGTCTGGATCATAAAGCAAAGCCGATAAGAGCAAGTGTCGCCAGAGTGAAGGCCCGCTCGGAGCCGCAGGGCCGGTGATTTGTCCAAAGTCAAAACCCTGCTCCTTCCCACCACTGATCTTTCTTTTATGCGTTTTATTTAGGCAGCCTGGAGCTTTGCAGTTGGGGGTTTTAATGAAGCTGTTTTCTCTGGTCAGGGAGGATGGGATGACAGTATAATCGGGTGCCTTCTGCACGCTTGCCTCTCCTTCAGAGGAAGGGCGGCGGGTGCGGTCCTCTTAGAGTTGGCAAATAAGCTGGGGCGATGCATGCAGGGAAGACCTGCAGAAATACTTTGGGGAGCGACAGGTGCTGCCGTGCATGGTTCAGGAGCTGCCATCTTTTTGCAAGGGCAGGGCTGTGCCACTGCGATAAGGCAGCGAGTCTCAAATGGGGTGACCTGCGTGTCTGGGATGTGGTGAGCTTGTGGAGGGGCCGGGAAAGCAGGAGGCAAGAGAGAAGACATGCCAGCGGAGGAGAACATGTACAGCCATTCTCCATTTCTTTCCTGTCTCTTGGGTTGGTGCAGAGGTTACCGGTGCT